GGTCTGTGGACTAGGGCTAGGCATTTGGAAGCCATGAAGACATATCCTAATGGTATCCCCTTATCCTCCCGACCTCGGATCCCGTGAGTGGGATTGGTATGCCGGAGATAAGAACCAGCTTTCCTCGATGCTTGAACTTGTAAAGGTCTTCAGTGACTATTTAATTGGAGTATGGCATTGATAAATGCGCCTTACTGCAGGTGAAAAAGGAGAAAATCCATTAACCTAACAAACTCACCCTCATGTGTAGCACAATTATCCAAGAACTAGAGCAAGAGGGTACAACTATTTAGAACTGCACCACCTTTTGAAAACAAGTGAATCAAAGATGAGATATTCAAAATAAAGTCTTGCAGAGTTACAAAAATCTATAAACCTTTTGAATGGAAAGAAACTCATATCAGCCATCAACACTTGGACAGCACCTGTGGCTGTCTCTACATTTGGTGTTCGTTACTGGACAACAAGTGAACTGCAGGAGATTAACCGAACAGTTTGGACCATTCGTACTAAGAGCAGCATTCACCACCGTTCAAGGGCAAGACAGTACTTACTTTGGAAGGAAACAAGGTAGTGGTCTTTTGGATTTTGAGACCTTGTACAAAACAAATCAACACTTTTTGCAAATACTGCCTTCAAAAAACGACGATTGAGCATGAAGCAGTTTGTGCCACAGACAAGAATTTTACCCCATTGAACCTAAATGAAGCGGACTCTGAAAGATCATAAATCACCAAAGAAGATAAGCTGAGTGGGCGGACTTGAACTGCCACGTAGTTAATTTACTCGTGTGACCGGTTTGTGACAATCACTTCTGCACAATCAAAGTGGAGGTATGGTCGGCGTGTAACATGTAGAAAATGATTCACGTTTATTTGTAGATCGCTTGCAAGCTTGTGGTATGGCTTGAGCTACAGGACGGTCACCATCAAGAAAGAAGCGTTCCACGAGAATTGTCAATTTAAAAGAATCAATTTGTAGCTCTTCTGAATTGTTATGAGATTCTTTTAAAAAATGTGGATGATAGCTTTTAGAAGTAAAATGTAATTTAAATGAGTTCATAATTCTCTTTAAAGTGTCCTTTATATATAATTAACACAAATAAAAAGAGGAGAGTTCGCCAAACGTATTCGGAAATGTGGCAACTCTGACTCAGATGCTTGCACGCATTGTGTATACACACATGACGATTGCACACATGAGTGTTCAGACTTGGAGGAAACATGAAAGCAGGAAGTGAAGTTGGCGAAATATGATAAAATGATAGAAGAGAAGGGTAAGGTGGAATATAGATGAAGAAGAGACTCGGAAAAAGATTTCTCTTTAAGTGCATTCCATGAAAGGAGAAATCTGTTTCCGAGCAGAATATTGTTTTTCAGTTCTATAAATACTCCAAACAATCGTTTATCACTGATTTCTAATGCACGCACGTAGAAAGTAGCCCCGACCCACGTGAGAGGCATCTACGGTTTCGTTAGATGCCCATAAACGTTTACGTTTCTAATTTCCAACGCGCGCAGAAATTGTGTCATGCCAGAGTATTTTATTTGTTGTCCTTGAGAAGGGTGTTCATTCTACTTTTCGGAAAACAATTTTGTATGGTTTTTGTTCAGAAGCAATTTCGCTGCTTCAGGCCACTAAAATTGTAATCAACAAAACTGTTTTAAATTGATAATTCGTTGAAAATAAAATAATTTAATTTGAAATTAAAAGAATTAATAAATGCTTAAACAATCCAAAGTATCTTAACTTGTTTGTTCTTTCTCATATACTACTACGTAATAGATACCACTACGTAATATACTAGTACGTGACACAGTTTTTAACTGTGTGACATTCGAATTAACTTCATTACGTGGACATTTTTAACTATATGAGGCTCAAGAAAAATGACCGTAGCAGCATATACTGACTAGAAATGGCGGTTTACAAATGAGTGGAAGATTATTTTGGACACATACGAGTCGTATGTCCTACCCAAGACAATATTTTTTTTTCCAAATTTTACTCAATTGATTCAAAACAATTATTACATAATGATCGCATCACATCCAAAGGAGTATTCCCATGGCATTCATTAATGACCTCTGCTAGCTATATCAATCTAATTTTATAGTACCTTTCTGAACAATACGAAAAGTATAAAGACTTCATCTTACCTTTACGTTTGCATTTGTAGCGATAATTCGCTCATGAGCAGAATTCTCGCAAAACGGCCGAAATAAATGTACGAAAAAGTCACAGTAATGAAGATGCCGATTAAAAGCGAAAAAAATCTGCTAAATACATTCCCCAGCTCATCGATACACATCTGCAGCAAACCTTTCAAATGTTCTTGAAATATGTCCGGCCTGACCGATATGTTTTGTAATACAATTTCTCGTGATTTTATAGTGCTTTTCTAAATGAGAACCAGTTTCTTCGCTAATATCTGTTAACTAATAACCAGAAACAGATATTTCTGTTGCTAATATCTGTTTACCCCAAACCGTGGAAACTATAAAAGGATGGCAGCTTCTTCAAAATGTTAATGTTTTGGCGTACGCCAACAACACTAGTTTTTCTCCATAAGTCTTCCCTAGCATTCACAACAAGCAGGCATGGGAACCAAAGACGTATCGCATCCACACAATCAGCTATTCGTCTTCTAAACTTGCGATTTCAATGTTTAGCGAATTTCCTTCCCTCTACTGATAAGCTATTGATGCTACTCCAGAGAAAGTGAAGGCATGCCAAGCTGTATAATTATTATTATTATTATTATTATTATTATTATTATTATTATTATTATTATTATTATTAGCGTATATGCCATTGTATCACGCTGTACCCGTTTATCTTCCGAGGCCCAGTCCGTGAGAAGAACGTGTGTAATGTACTGGGATTCAGCTTTAAGTCTGTGATCCCTTTGATAAGAACAAGGTTATTACGCCTTTATTTATAAATAATTGAGGTGATAGGATGATAATGAGGGGTCAAGGGTTGGCAATCACAAATACAGGACTTCAACCTGCAGCCTCCTCGTGACAGACGACAACTGCCGCAACTGTCTGCGCCATGAAGCCGGTTCTGTTGTTGTTGTTGTTGTTGTTATTATTATTACAAAATGATTACTTAAGAAACTGATCCCTGTCATCCTGTTGCTGATATAATGCACGGTACTTCTACATAATTATAAGTGCAATAACAATAAAAATATTGGATACACATGTCACTGCAAGCATCTTAGAAGCAACTAGCGAGGTGTGTACAAACAACGGCCTCAGAGCACAAAGCACACAACAAATATCAAAGAAAAATGGACATGTCTATTATTAAGGAAAGATCCTTCCGATTCATGAAACATATTGTTCTTAAATAACTGTTCCATACCGCATCAGTTCAATTTTGATCGACATTTTCCGTTAGTGTGCATGCCAAGCAAACGACAGTGAGCCATGTGTAAAATGTAAATCATTGATTTTCTTTCTAGAATTTGGGATCCATATTTCTGGGAGTTCCCCTTTCTCCTTCCGCGTTGGTAAACGAGGCTGAAATGATCACGTGATTGGAGCGGGATAGAGACTAGCAAATATTCCCGAAGGGCCCCGATTGCACATGAGCGAACAGTTACACCCCCGTAATGCTAACGTCTTAAGCATAGAGTTCTGTCTGGTCTTCCCCCTAGGTCGCACGTCCCTCGCCCACAAAGGCTCGCTCAGAGCGCATCAAACTTCAGAAGGGCCCGGGCGCAATCCAGGGTTTTTCAGTGCTCGTTTGCTAATACGCCACGACCTTATCCCGTATGTAAAGTGCAGTTTGAATTTGCCAAAATTCGTCGAACTCTTCGTCGTTTACTCTTGTAAGTATTTAACGTTAAACTTCGGACAATGCGCTTGTGCTCGTGTAGCACGGGCTGCGGCAAGTGAGCAAGCGGCTCACCTCGTCTCACCCCTTCTCTGGAAAACCCAGATTTTTCTACTATCAGAGAAGCCCCGGAAGGGAGCGCAAGGTAAACTACGTGAGGTCGCATCATAGTCCGTCGCTTGGGGAACAATTCACGGGCAGAAATTTCCATTTGCAGCGGGTGCAGCATTTGTGCAGTAGACATTTGAAACGTCGTTTTCAATATTTTAGGCATTTCCCTCGCAAATGCTAAGAAAAAAAGGAATTTCGGTTCTGTTCAGATGAAGCGTGTTTTACAAGACCTTTTGTTTTGCAGCGCCACGTAGACGAGTTACAAGAAAATTAATAGCACAGAAACCTTCTGGATGAAAAGCACGCCATGATGATTCATTCATGATGATTGATCTCTTTGTGCCAGAGTTTACTGCTCTTATATATACCATCATCAACATATATATATATATATATATATATATATATATATATATATTATTTTCTACCTCTAGAAGCAAGAAATGGCCCCCAATTTTTGTATTAGACGCTCACAAAAAGATATTTTTTGTCGAAAAGTTCCCACTGCACCGTTACAATTAATTCTCTATTCAACACAATAGGACACGAGAAAACGACAACTTTTGACGCCTTAGCACCAAGCGAGGAGGCGACGATGTGGAGAGCGGCGTGTACTTGCGGTCGAACAGCTTCTCCGCCGTCCCGTCCTGGCCGCGCCGCTCCAATTTCGTTGTCCACCGCGCCGCCTCGCTCCATTCGGTCACTCGCACGAACATCGAGGCACGCAATGTAAACTAACAGAAGTACCCTCAACCGTGTACAAAGATATTCCACTCCCGTTGGCCAGCCGGCTCAACCACGTATGAAGATCACGCTGGCCAGTCGGCGAGGAGATCAGCCCTGGGTTAAATATTACCCCTGTATATCAATATGGCCCTATTGCCATATGTATTAAAACTTCTAGCATCACTTAAAGTGGGGAAGGGATGTTATAGGCAATTCCTCCGACTCTGATCTTTAGCGCGCTGCCGCTTGCAGCGTTCCATGCAACGAGAGATGTGCGAACCAACAATGATAATACTAAAGAGCCTGGAGGCACTCACCATGGCGATGGCTGCGCGCCGCTGGCGGGAGGCGGCTGGCGACCGCTCTTCCTCGCCTCTATCTCGCGCCTCGCCGCGCCGCGCCGCGCCGCTCGCCCGGCGCGCCAGCTCGCTTTATCTAGCGACGCGGCTTCGGGGAAAGCAGGAATTCCTGTCCGCCGCCGGTCGCGGAGCTGCCATCGTGGCACACATGTGCCGAGTCGACTCAATCGACGCACAGATAATCGATTGTACCCTGCCACCATTGATGTATGGGGAAAAACTCATTAACGCAATGGGCGTTTTTACTGAAATCCGATTTATTTCTCGTACCTCTTTTAATGCAATAATAACGAATGAAGTTTGAGCCCGAAGGAATGTAAGAAGGAATGTAGCGGCGAGCATTTTCTTCGCAGATGTGCGACGAACTGGACGAAACGAGGGTATTCCCTCGAGCCGTCATCTGCAGATCCGCCATCGGGGGGGTGGCATCTGTGCGGAATCGATGCAGTCGACGCAGAGATAATCGACAGACGCATCATCTACCACATCTGGAGAATTAAAAACTGGCTTATTAATTTGTAATGATTGAGAATATGGTATTGGATAGGGGGCAGTTTGTAGGAACGAGTGCCCTTATGCATGTATTTATTTGCTTGTACATATTTAACGTATGCATGAACATATGTGTGATTGTTTATTCCACAAAAAAACTTTTAAACCTCTTCAGTGATTACTTACAAATTTTGCACACATATTTCTCAGCGGCCGAGAAAAACGCTACCTCAATATATATGTGTCTTACAACATTTAGTTTAACACAATCCGTAATGCATCTAGGCAGCAATGTATGCTGGGCGGCGAGAACAGGGCCAGTCGGAAATTGAATAGGGAAAGAGAGCGGAGCGGGAAGGCGTGGCGGAGCGGAGAGAGCTGGAGGACCAGGCCGGGCAGACGCGAGTTCATAAAAGCGATATCTCTCTCAAAGACCACACCTTTTCAAAGTCCTTTCTGTGTGCGGACACTGAAACCCATATATGGCATGGAAATTGAACCCCTCTTGTAAATCCTCTCTCACCGATCATCGACTATCCCCTTAGTAGTAATTTTCTTAATTTACCTTTTTAAGAGACCATTTTCAGGAAAATAGACAGTACACCGAATTTGCAGTATTTACAATGAAAATGGCGACCATGCAAAGAGCATTCGCGCGTCACGCCCGCTGCCTCGGCTTCATAACGGAGGAAATTCGAGGGGGGGGGGTCCGGAAATGAAGTACAGTCAACCGTGTTCACTGGTTTGGTATCGCGGCTGCTCGCTCTATTTCAGTATCTTTTCCACTGATTCTATGACAGCGGATAAGAAAATGACCTAAAGCTTCGTTTTTCGAATTAACAAATGCTTCCTTACCTTACCTTCCTGGAAGAAAGAAGGTGCAGTAGAATATCAATGTTGGAAGTCTCGTTTATCAACTAGCTCCGTAACACGCGATTGCGTCCGGAATCAGACTCCAGTGCTTATCCAAGACCTATCGCTTAATGTTAAGTTACTCGTCTACCTGAGTGTTAAAATGTTTATTTGTGACGTATATCTAAATTTAATCATAGTTATTAGTAGGTTTAGGTATTAACAAGACAATTTAAAAAAAGTAATTATTTCATCTGATATGCCCTTCTCCCTTCCTAAAAACACGGTATGATTTGTAACACCATAACTCACGTGCCGTTAATATTTTTCATGATTCCTTTTTAAGATTGCTATTTGGATTATTCGTTAGTCGCTGAATCTAAATTTGAAGATTGATAAGAGAATTGTATGTACTTTCTGGGGATTTTAATTAAAACTTTTAAAATCACTGGTAATAATACCGATTAACAGAAGAATTAATTATTTATAATCTGCATTTTCTAAAAGAATGTCAGATTTAGGTACAATAATGGACTTTTTGCAATTAAATAAAAATAATCATTAAAATATGTTCAAAATTAGAAGAGATGCTGTTTCAAGTCGGGAAAAACAGGAGACAAAGTAACTTAGGGAAAAGCCAGATTTAGATCCATTAGCTCTAAAATGATCGTATGTGAACGCTAAATCCCTAACTTCAGGAAATTGTTGGAAATGCATATTCTATTTTTGATTTGAAGTTTGAAATGCATTTTTAAAATTTCTTACGAAATAATCTTAATTTTCTTTCATTTGTAGCTATCATTTCCACCTAAACTGTAGATGTCTCCGTGGGACTTGGAATGTGCGCACGCATTCTGAAAAGAACAATAAATCAAAAACTACCAAAATTAGAAACGAGCGCTTTTAATCAACGAAAAATACACATCTCAATGCACAAGAGACAATAAAAGATCAAAATGTGGTTAAACCAAGCAAACTTCTGTAGCATACGTCCGGGGGCGTCGCTGGATCGAAGACACAAATCATGTTGTCTCTTGCCACTCAGATCAATATTTGCTGAAGCTTCTTAACCTAAACGGGTTAGGGGTTAGAGTTTTAAGAGCGGCCTTTTCCTCCCCTTCCTTGTCATCCCCTCACCCCTCGCTTACAGACTTGCGCTCCACTACCAGACAGACGCACTCCACTACCGCACTTGTCGGGAGGCCAGTCGGGAGCGTAGAGCTTTTCCGGGCTGGGGCGGTGCCCCGACGATGGAAGATTGCGGATTGGGAAAAGTCCCTTAAGCAGGCGCCAGATCTCTCCATCCGCCGGGGAAAATCACTTGCTCCTTCCCCGATTTATGCACTACACATACGGAACTAATGACCTTATCAGTTGACGCGCCCGCATTCACTAATTAATCAACCATTCAATCCATCCATACGAGATCACAGTGCATTCCGGCTACACATTTTTTAATGTATCTAAAAGAACCTCTTTGCTTCCATTTTCAACAAAAAACAGCGTTTAAACACGTTCAATACCTTTGACTACCCATTTCCCATACTTTCTCTTACCAAACAAAAAATGTACTGATTAACTTGTCTTGTCAAGAGGAATCTAGTAAGCTATTGACAATCTCTGTGTCTTAAAACTCCTTCAAAACGCGTTGTAGGTGCTAACATCCCTCCTCAAAAAATGTTTTTCATCAATTCTCATAGAATGTTATCGAAGAATCCGAAAAAATGGTCAGTCCCCCCCCCCCAGTAGACGCGTCGTAGTGTGATGGTTCTATTTTTTTCCTTTAGTGAAATAAATCTACTAATAATGGAAAAACAAATATACATTTATTTATTTCAAGGTCGATGATTTTATGGTATACGCCATAAACTTAAACAAGGTAATTTACCGTTTGATTAAAGCAAAAAAAATTCAAGATTCAATTCAAAATAAAAATTTATTTATAACATGAATCAATATTTAAGAAAATAAACAATAACAACGAGAAGAGTTTTACATACACAATTAAAAGAAAAACAACATTACGGTCCATTCGTATTCCAATATACGTCCTCCCGCATAGGTCGTCAAACATCACTGATATCCTTCCCAAATCCTCCAGCTCCTCCAGGACGTGCACTCCCTGTCGACGATAAAATTACTCAGTCCTCACTTCCGACCGAACAACGTCTTAGAGTTCATAAAATGTCATCGTCCACCCGACCATACATCATACTGAGCTCAGTAAGACACTCAATTCTGGTTACTGATTTTTATATTTTTGAGTGTCTTGTCTGCCACAATGGTATCCATCATATCATTTTATACAGACGGGTCCTGCATATGATCATCGAAAGTCTTTGAATATCTTGACTCATTCCAGTAGTACACCTCATTGGTCCCAAATGGAGTCCGAGAAGAAAAGGACACAGAAGTTCTCCAGTTTCTATTTACGGAATAGGAGCAAAAAATCCATTGTTTTGGTATCAGGGACCCACGAAATCATTTTTTTTTTCGAAAATACGGAACTTTGAACCATAGCATAATGACACTTCCTCTACACTATATAAGTAGTATAGGCTACAGTAAAACAAATGTTTCGATTCCAGGGAACCTCAGAACGTGTATTTTCGTCAACAACTACGATTTTCCGCGGCATTACATAACTTTGTCTATAGTGGTTACATACTCACATATACAAGAAAATAATAGGATGCTCTGCCGTATTGTCAGTATTTTTCTTTTGTCACTGTTACTTTAATCTAGGAAATCTCTCTTAGACGACCACTCCACTTAACAGCCAATCTTCGGAACGACAGGTAGTCTATTAATAGATATTCCTGTGTACATTTGCGCACGGAAATCGCGATGCGCAACATAAACACTCATGACGCACTGGCGGAAGCACGTTATCGTGAACCCACACCATCTCACATCTGAAAATGAACCTTACCCTCTTTACCTGCGCCACTCAGTGGACATGAATAACAAAAGCTGCTTTCTTGGGAGAAAATAAACCAAAATACCGGTGTATGTATATTACTTAAAGCATTTTGACAAGTTGTACTTTGTCAGAATCAAAATATATTTGCCATTTTTGTAATCTGTGTTGAAGGAGGGACATATTTTCTTGTACGAAAATAGTGAAGCAAGCATGATATCACCCACTATTTTCACTGACATTATAATTCGGGTTTTAATCTGTAGAGGAAATCTCATTGTTGAGGAACTTCCCTGTAGGAAGAAATATGTCTGAATTGAAATTCCTAAGAAGTACTAGTTGAACTTGTCATTATTTGCCAAGAAAACCTTCTTTTCTCTTTAGAAGATTTTTAGTTGAGTATTATAATCACAGAAAAATTAAAACTCTTTTTCTAAAATAACAAGAAAAGTCTACCAGATCCATCAAAATTACGCAGGGGGCATCCATAAATCACGCAACGCTAATTTTGAGTATTGTTAATACACCCTCCCCCTGTAATGCAGCCGTAACGCGCACTTGAAACCTCCTAAATAATTACGTATGTAACGCTCGCGACAACACCCCCTCCATTTACAAGAAGTAAACATAAATTATGGTAAAGTAAACACAATTTGTATGAATATTATTTGTGTTAATATTAAAATTTGCGATGGTTAAAGTTAGAATTACTTGACTAAACATAACAAGAAGATTGGAGACAACTTTTGAGTGAAGGAAGAACGCGTAGACTTGAAAGTGTTTGTCACCAAATCCGTTCACTCGCCCTCGTGGAGGTGCCTTGGGGAGAGTCTACGGCGCCAATTTAATTAGATTCTAGAAAATAGATCAGTTTTAAATAGTTTTTCGTAATATTACAGATTCAATGAAAACGCCAAAGAAAAATATTTCCATGTATGT